GCTCACATGAATGTCGGGTATCACCGCCCAATTTTATTTCGTCGATAAATGTACGGTTGCAAAGATTATTATTTTATTGCTTCAAATTTGAATGTTATATGCATTTTTAACAACAAATATTGTTGTTATTAAATGATTGTTATTAAATGATAGAATTCACTAAAAGTATATAAATATGTAATAAATAAAATAATTTTGTGATAAAAATGATAAATGAGGTTTATCAAAATCTGTCAATACATTGGTCATTTTCATTTACACCTGAAAAAAACAGTCAAAAAACATAATTTTTGTAACTGGGCGGGGCTAACCGACACATTTTGAAAAGAGCTAAAAAACATGTTTCTTTAAATTTCTATTTTTTTAAGTTAAACTATTCTTTTTTTGGTTTATTCTTTTTGCATTATTTAATTAGATGATAGAGCAATAGAAACATACAAAAATATTGATTATTACTCAATATTATACAGAAATATAAGCAATACTCCTTAAGTGAGCGGGGCTACCCGTCTCTCCCCTAAATGAACTTAGCTATCTTAATTATTTCACGAGTTGTGTTAGAAGTGCGATGAAAAGCGTCATCTATATTGCAATTTTTATTAAATCCTACACCATGCTATTATAGTCTCTGCAACAAAAAGAAAAAGAAAAGAAAAAACACTAAACAGGAAAAAAATAAATTGGGTAGTTTCAAAGTTCGGCAAATTTTTTTTTTTTTTTTAATGGAAATCTCCTAAATGATAGTTAATGTAATAAAATAATTTATTTGAAAGCTAATGTAATGTTGTACTAGAAGTTCACTTATACAAGTAGAACTTCGAGTACTACAACTTGTACAAGCATGCCAGAAGTTCTTGTGGTAGAAAGATATATTGCACAAAATAAATGTTATTACCGTTGTATTAGTTTCTATGACATGAAGTTAAAGTCTGGATTCCTAGGACGAACGAGCAAATTAATCTAATGGGGAGAAGAAGCTAAATATCTTTAAACCATAAAGCGTGAAATAGTAGTTTTTTTTTTTAATTTTATAGTAATTTATTTTGTAAAAAAATTATCTTTTTAATAAATTACTCAGTGGAACATATTTGTTGTTACATTTATACAAATATTGGTCATACCTAATTCGGTTGTGGGGATTTCAAATCTAAAATTAGCTTTGCTCCAAAAGCTACAGCTATTTTTTAAATAATATTTTTAGTCTCTTTTTTTGTCAAATTGTGTAAGTTTAAAAACGTTATAAATAACAGAAGATGGCGTAAATGTTGCTACAAACTTTTCGGGGGTTAGGGCACAACATCAGTAATAAAATAGCATAAAAAACTGATACCCAGAACCGTCGTACGCGGATAGGGGCGCTTTCTTGTTATGCAGTACATGAAGAAACAGTTCATAATAGGAAAGAGTCCCCAACTGCGAATGACAATACTTCTAGGCGTGGATTCCTATGCAATTTTGATCCTGTTGATAAGCCCTAGGAGTTTGTCACAACATTTATGCGTCACCTTTGAAATACATTTATGCGTCATATTACGTTTTTAAACCAGTACATCTAGACAGAAAATGATACTAAAAATGTCATTAAAAAATCAGTAGCTTAGAGAGAGAAATCGATTGTAGATTTGAAATCAGCGTTTCGAAAGTATCTAAGAACTGTTAAAAAAAGCGTCCTGTAAAGTTAAACAAAACAACAACAAAATAATTTCTCCAATGTCATTGTTACTTTTTCATGGCTCTTTTATTTTACTGCTCATTAAATGTTCCAATTTACACTTTATTTCTATATAATCTACTAGTTATGTTTACTTCAAAGGTAGTGATTCAGAAATGATTTATGCAATACATCTGCACAGTGGTTAAATATGGCGTACTTTTAAATAAGTTTGTAATAAAACTCATAATTGATTTCTGTCAGCGATGATAAATAATTTGTCTTACTGTTGCTAAGCAACCTATCATAGAAATTTTTAATCATGAGCAACTGAGTGTCAATTTAGATTTTGCGATAAGCTGGCTGTCAATATTCCATTATCGTCAAATTAACATAATGTGTGATGAAGTAGTGCTCATCGATATGTTTTCAGATTGCAAAATTAATTAAACTTTTGAGTAAGAGCTATTGATCTGCATTTTCAGGTCAACTATTAGTCAGTTCTTCCTTTCTCCAAGGTTTTCAAAATAAACAAATAAAAGATTTCGTAAACGTGTGCTTGTTTAAAGATAGATATTGTAACAAAAGTGATTGCTTCGCCTAGTACACAAATAACAGTAATGTGCAAATGAGTTCGTTGACCATGTTTTTTTCCATCAATAGATTATTGGTAACTTTGTTCGCTGAATTTATTAATAAAGTAATCTAATAATTGCTTTCAAATTATATTAATCTATTTTTTTCAAATATAAAGTACTATTTCTTTTTAATTTAATTTTCTTGACAACTACAGAGTTCCCTAGAATCTTAAAAATTTAAAAAAGTTGCAGCAATAAGGAGACNAAAAATGTTACAATTGACCCCACTCTCCCCTACTATTTCTTTTTAATTTAATTTTCTTGACAACTACAGAGTTCCCTAGAATCTTAAAAATTTAAAAAAGTTGCAGCAATAAGGAGACAAATCGTGATTATTTAACACATTTGGGAAGCGACCATCCTCGTGAGTCACCTCTCGAGTGCAAAGGGTTGAATTTGGTAAGGGCCCCTGGGGACCCTGCTATTAGAATACTGAGATATAGAAAAATTGATATAGAAAAATTGATATAGAAAATCTATAATGATTAACACGTTGAATGCCATGGGGGTCACCGGTGACCGACACTGAGTCTGTTCGTAGCACCACGGGGATCACCGGTGACCGGCGAACAAATAATTCGAGTAAATTTTTAATGCTTTCAATTTTTTATTTATACCACGACCAGGTGGCCAAGTGGTTAGCGTGCCTGACTGCGGAGCCGATGGTTGCGGGTTCGAATTCCGCTCCGGGCATGGATGTTTCTTTCTCTCTCCTTTTTTCTGTGTGAATGTAATCCGCCCTATAAACGGGTTTGTGGTTGCATGACGTGGACGACGCTACTCCACCCTCCATGGCTTAGCCATAGGTATTCATTGGGTAACGATAAGAGAGTAGCAATTTCTGAATGTTAATGGGAAATAGACCTAAATGCCTGCCATTAACCAAAAAAAAAAATTAAAAAATAACTAAATTTATATTATTATCGTTACTAAAATGGTTTGAAGAAATTAATGCAATATAGAAACAGTTTTATTTATATACACAGAGATGCCAACTTGCCCCGAGCAGCGAATAAATATCTTCAAGTGGTAGTTTATTAATTGTGATTCTTGGTTTAATAAAGTTGACTTTTATCCACCACTATTTCTAAACAATTCGCAAGCTTATGTAAATCACTGCTTTTTTCAGATACGTCATGCTAAACCTTATAAAAAAACTAGCACAGCCTGTTCGATATTTGCAAATTTAGTTTGTAGTTATTTACTGTTTGGCCGGAAAATTAGAGTGGCATTCAACGTGCTAAATAGGATCAAATTATGAAAACTCAGTAATACTCAATACTTTCAGTACGTTGCTTTTCTAATTACCGAGCAATGGAAAAGGAGAGAGGTGAAATTGCCCCAGCCGTCTCACTGCTGCTAATGTTTATTCTAAATATATTGTTATTTAAAAAGATGTGTTAGTTATCAATTCATTGAGTCCTTTTCAAGACGGATGATAAAAAAAAATATTTTCGCTATCAATTTTTATTTATTTGATATAAAATCATGAGGAACCTTCATCGTCAAATGAACCGATTGGGTTGAAAATGGTTAATTGTCATAAATATTTTAAGATTGTCTTAAATATTGTATTTAACACGTTGAATGCCAAGCTAATTTTACATGACTTGCCCGTCTGGTCAAACGGTAAATAACTACAAACTAAATTTTCAAATATTAGACAGATTTTGCTAGTTTTTTAAAAGGTTTAGCATGACATATCTGACGATGACGATCTGTAGTTGGCAAGGTACCTGCCTGCGTTAGCGGGCACCAGACCTCATAATCAGTGCTTTGCTCTAGGGCGACTTGTACTGTTGGCGTAGATAGAATGAAGTTAAGGCAGTTGGCAGCTGAATAGCTTTCTGCAATAAGCAATTCAAATGATGGTTAATTACATATCTGAAAAAAGTGCTGAATTATATAAACATACGAATTGTTTAGAAATAGTAGTGGATAAAAATCTACTAAATTGAATTTAATAAACCAAGATCACAATTGAAAATATTTATTTGCTGTCTAGAGCAAGTTAGCATCTCTGTGTATATAAATAAAACTATTTTTGTGTGTTCTATATTGCATTAATTTCTTCAAACCATTTTAGTTACAATAATAATATAAAGAAATTAAAAGCATTAAAAATTTGCTCGAATTATGTGTTTCTAATAATCTTGGCTTCACCTGTCACCGTTGACCCCCATGGCATTCAACGTGTTAAAAATATTCTAATCTCAGTTCCATTATTTAATTGACACTTCTCGAATATTAACTGCAAAAATGAGGAGTCACAATTGACTTACTGACAAGGTGCTTTGCAGTTGCAAGATATTTTTCTTTTTTCAATGTCTTCAATCACTTGGTTCATGCAATCGTCTAAGATAAAAAGAAAAAAAGAAAATTTACAATCTGCTTTATTTTCCGAATTATAATGTACTTTGCGAAGTTTTTAAACTTACATTGAGTAGCATTTTCTATTTCACAAAAGTCATACTTTGTTGTCATTTTAAAAAGAACAGATCCTCGCAAATACTGTCTTCCTGTACAAGCACATCTCCTTGTTAAATGTCGATGACGGCATAGTTTTTCACATCCCTGTTTATGATTCATAAATATTACCAGACAGTATAATATCTCTTAGATAAGTAAAAACTTTCATTCCCTATGTTATATATGAAGCACACTTTAAAATTGTTTAATCAGATACTAATGATCCATTTTATGATTTTTAGTTACGTGAAATTTACTAAATTCATTTCGTATTTTATGTATACAGATTTTTAAAAGAATCGAATAAGAACATAAGTGCTTATTATAATTAATATTTTTGAAATGTCTTCATTTTAGTTACTTTTTACTGCATTGTCAATATAATAACAATAATAATAAAACCAAAATAATGAATGAAATAAAATTAAATGTATAACTAAGTTAATTGTTGTCAAAGGAAATAAAAATTCCTTTTTAATTAATATTCAGTAAAATGTCATGTACTCTATAAGATTTCTTTGACATTTTTTATTCCCTCAATGACAAATAGCAGCAGAGCTGTTAAATCTCGGAAAACATGAAATACTAGGAGTAATAACTGGGTATTTCTACCCATATTTCAAAAGAAGTAAACGTGTCAACTTGAACTGTTTTTACGGGAGAATTTTGTTGATGTTTAAAGTGATGACATATTTTATGCTTCGCAATATTATTTTAAATATTGTAAAAAAAAACAATTTAAACAAATAAAAATACCTAATCATGAGGTAAAGTTATTAATTATGAGCTAAATTAAGCGAATTTTGCCTACCCACAATTTTGTACAAATGTACATGAAGATCACTGGGAAAGAAAGGTTTATGACCACAGAAAATCTTATTAGAAAAAAAAAACGATCGGAAAGGAAGGGGTTTTCTACAGTATGGCTCAACTTCTCTATGTAATAACTCTCGGGGAGAATCGACTTTTCACACTAATTGATTTGTCAAAACTTAGCAATCCTCAAAATGCAACAGATGGCGATCCAATCTTAAAAATTAACATAAACCGTACTTCCTCCCTGGTTTTCACATATTATGTCACGAAAAATAACTGTATATTGTTACTAATATACGTCATGAGAAATGACTACTATACATTATTACTAATATACGCCATGTGAAATTACTATATGTGTTTTTACTAATATATGTCACGATAAAGGACTTTATGTTGTTAATAATATGTGTCACGAGAATTGACTACATGTTATTAATATGTCACGAGAAATGACTATACATTGTTACTAATATACGTCATGAGAAATGACTATATTTGTTTTTACTAATATATGTCACGATAAATGACTCTATGTTGTTATTAATACATGTCACAAGAATTAACTACATGTTATTAATAAAATATGTCACGAGTAATGAGTATACATTGTTACTAATATACGTCATGAGAAATGACTATACGTGTTTTTACTAATATATGTCACGATAAATGACTATATGTTGTTAATAATATATGTCGCGATATTTTTGTAAACAAATTTCACTTTTAAATCTAACTGAAACAGTGCTAGTAAAAATGAAAAAGAAAGAGGGAAAAAAAACATTGTTTTCTATTTCAAAAGTGTAAAAAGGTTATACTTACTAAAATGGAATAAGGGAAGGGAATTTCTTCAAAGAAAAGTCGTGTGTCTTCCGGTACACAAGATCCCCAGGGGGGTCCCAATCTTGTTATTTCAGCCAGAGTCACTTCAATAGCAGACATGTCTTTTGGTCTAACGTTGATCCCGTACTCTGCAACAAATGGAAGATCTCGTGGATCGTGAATAATAACTCTGGCACCTATCTCATGGTTCAAAAGATCCACGGCATTCATTTTGTTGATGTGCAAGATCAATTGCAAACCTAAACAAAGTTTTAAACAAAAAAAGTTCATTTTAAATTTAAGTTAATTTTAATTTAGTATTTTTTATTTTAAGTAATTTTTCACAGCTGCACATTAAAAAATTTAAAGTAACATATATGACTTTGCAACTTTATTGCATCTATCTCATTTTAGCTTTTTTTAAAAGTGAACGTAATTAGCCTCATTCTTCAAGTTTTACTATTTGATTCACTATCAATTTATTTTATCACCGTCGTTGAACAGCCGAAACAATTTTTAGAGTTTACGTCTACTAATGTTCAACTCTCAGAGTAGACTTGCGATTCTGAACCCAATAAAGAAGGCAAAGGAACTCCTGGATCAAGTATCGGAAGAAATTTGCTTTCGTGGAGGACTTTTTGATGGAACTAATCCGCATTTGCGTTACATGGAAGAAGATATTCTGGAGAATAATATTTATACAGTACATTCTACAGGACAAAACTACTTTTTTTTAATCTAATGTTTGTTTTTTCCAATGCCCACCTGTGTTAACATCCGTCAATTCAGGCATATACAGGGCGATTTTGTTGGCCTCTCTTTCAGGGGCACCATATTAGGCGGGCCAACGCCGCTCCCACAGTGAGGACAGATAGTACAGAGAAGGAAAGGACATCCATGCCTAGCCCGGGATTCGAACCCAAAACCTTTCTGATGCAAAGACAATTAATCTAATATAGTTATTCAAACACTTCGTGGACTAATTTCTTATTGTAACAAATCTACCAACTTTTCTAAAAAAAATTTCTTAGTGGTAAGAAAATTCCAATTAAATTTAAATAATAAGCTGGTGTTTTGTTAAGATTTAGCCGACATCTACAGACACTCTTGGGAAAGGCTAGCATGTAACTATATATATTTAAACAAGAATAAAAAATTGAGGAAATATTAATTTTTCGACCAGGGAAAATATAGAAATAAACTTTTCCTGAAAATTCGGACGAGTTGGCAGGCATCATTGTAACATAATGAGATTATTCATTATCATTTAGAGCATTTCATTTTAACCCTTTGCACTCGAAGTCCTTTCAAGAGTTAAAAAAATGAACGCAACCACTAGAATTTTGAAAGATTTTTTTATAAACTTGCCTTATAATACCCGGAGATCACTGAATGAAGTGGTAACTAAACATTAAGATGAAAAAAATTTCACAATTAGAGTGGTGGGTAATTTACAGGTGTCAGCGGTGACTGACAGTCACCACTCGAGTGCAAAGGGTTGAATTTGGTAAGGCCCATGGGAACCCTGCTATTAGAATATTGAGATATAGAAAAATTGATATAGAAAATCTATAATGATTAACGCTCTCTCAAGTGCAAAGGGTTAATTTTTTTCGAACGAAATATCTATCATTGACTACAATTTTTTTAATTAAATTTAGCCCTTTTATTTAGCGATCAGCCGACCAGGTGGCCGAGTGATTAGCGTGTCTGACTGCAGAGCCATTGGCCACGGGTTCGAATCCTGCTCAGGGCATGGATGTTTCTTTCTCTCTCTCTCTGTGTTCTATGTCCTTTCCTCTTTGTGTGAATGTGCGAATGCTGCTCCACCACCGTGGCTTCGCCACAGGTGCCCACTGGGTAACGAGAAGAGAGTAGCAGTTCCAGTATTTCTGTGGCCAATGGGACAAACCCCCAAGTGCCCGCCATTAAAAAATTTAAAAAAAATTGTGATCATCATCACTTACCCTCCAATAACTGCGGGGTTTCCGTAGTTACAGAAAATGTGCTAAAGTATTGACCCATTTGTGCCTAGCGTCCTTTAAAAAAAAAAAGACGGTTTCTTTTTCCAAAAGAGAAAAAAGCGGTACCTCACGTGTGTCATGATTAGTATTTATTTCTTTTTAAAAAAAAAAGGCAGTTCTATCTACAGCAATGAATCGATGATATAAATTTTACGTTTACATTCAAAGTCTAAGTGCTTTTTAAGAGAGTTAAAGTGGTAAGTAACGGAACGAAACATCCATTTAATGTAAACAACTACGAACTACCACTTTTTTCGTACAGGTAATTTTCTTATGTGTAGACCTCTTATGTGTTTTGGGGTTTCGTATTAACCTTTTCGGGGCAGGTGAGTCATAAATGTATTCGCACGGAATTAGGATAGTAAAAAATAAAAAGTGGTAGCTTAAGTTTGGGCATAGCTAATTTGACAGACTTATTTTTGCTTTCACTTTAAGTCTAACACATCCAATCCGTATGAGTTAAAAGTGTAACTATACAATTTTTTATTCGAACTAAGTAGTGATGAATTAAATAATGCAAACTATTATTACCCCGGCCACAAATAAACTGCTATAAAAACAGTTTGACTACCAGTTTTATGTTTTTTACCCTGACACCCTGAGAATGCATATATGACTCGCTCATTTCTAAGAGGTTAACAGGTTACTGTTTAAATAATTTAAATTTAAAGCAGCTTTAGTCACCAAAAGGCATAAATTATTCAAACAATTATACAAAAGAAGCTGAGATAATACCAGGTAGTTAAGACTTGAAGGCCTGTTTGGAACTAAACTGTCAAATTTAATCAAGATATTCATTATTTAATTGTGTACAATCTATCAACAAAAACATTCCTAAATTTATTTTCATTCATGCATATAAACTTAAAACTAAAAAAAAATTATACATTCGGCTAATTTGAAACATATATAAATTTTTTCTCAATTTCGCCACCACTATAAAAAAAAATATTTTCTCAAATTTCGCAATATCTTTAAAAAAATTTCCAGATTGTAGTTACCCGGAAGAAAAACACTAAATGATTTGATGACAGTGATGAAATTTTCTACACTAAATGGTTATGAATGAAATAATGATAAGAAAAACGAAATTTACCACTATTGCTTCCATAATTGTAAATATTGATCGGCTTCTGATTCAGTTGGACTCTACTTCCCAAGTAATTGAACATGTAACATTTCCCAAATTTCGGATGAAACAAAACTGTGAAATTCCTGAAAAGACAACAAAATGATTAGACAAAATTTGCGTTTAGCTCATCAGGAATATGAAGTATAATTTATAATTACAACGTATAATTCATACATCAGAAAAGATATGTACTATATTTCCAGATTTGCATGGTTGCCAACTACTACGCTTTTCGCCAACTATTTAATTTGATGATAAACAATCAGGAGTAAAACTTTAATAATTTTTATTAATTTCGCCAACATTTTAAAAGTTTTGTAGGAACATCATATGTCACATAAAAGCGCTTTTTTTCACGAATTTATATAAATTTATTTGACGATTTTTGATTTATATCACGAATTATACTATAGCACATTTCTAATAGGTTTAACGAATTACATGTCATTTATTTGAATTCAAATTTATTTTAATGACTTAGTATTTACTAAAAAGACGTAATTTTAAAAAAGAAAAAAGTTTTTTATATGGATTTGAATGATTGTTCTGAATTCTTAGAATTTTGTGCATTTTCAATGTACCTAAGTTAGTAGCGAGCGTAGCGAGCTTGGTTTGCGAAGCAAAACATATAAGATTGCGTAGCAATTATCGGGGGTTGGCGAGTGTTAGCGATCAGGGGGCGCAGCCCACTAGTTTTAATTAATTTCGTCAGCATTTTAAAAGCTTCCTCACAAGAAACTAATTAAAATTGCTTTTTATATAAAGTTTTGAATTGAATCACATGTAATGGTGTGGAAAATGGTGTGGTTCGCATTTAATAGCGTTTACGGCCCTTTTCCCATTCATCTTGAAGTTTTAATTTCGAGGTGGTATTTCTGGTAACTGAATCAGTGAAGCCACGGGCGACTAAAAATGTAAAAAAGGACTAATAAATAGCAAAAATCCAGTGAAATAAATTAAAATTAGAAATTTTTTTATAACATATTTCTTTCAGTTTACTATTGAACTTTCTATCTATTGAACTATCTGCACTTTAGCATCCAAATAAGAGTCTCGGTGCTGACATCTAGTGTGGCAGAAACTAGACGTCGAAAGTAACTTCGCCAACGGTATCTCACCTATTGTGGTGGTCCTGAAAGAGTGGATACCACTTCTGGAGAACGCACTAGGTCTGCTCATGTGTGCGCACTTGTGCAGCTCATTAGAAAAAAAATTAAAGAAATTTACTATTGAGAGTGATTGCTAAGAATAAATCGAATGAATTATTAATTAGATTAAACAAATATAAATGAATTCATAGTCTCTACCACTTTTTACCACTTCTTACTTAGTCGCCCGTGTCAACCTTGCTGAATTTCAAATTGCAGAGAAGAGAAAATTAAATATTTTGTATTCTAAATAAAGATGTGTCGCTACAGAAATAAGAAGCAATTGGCCTGGAGTTTATGTCTTTCAGGTTTTCAAAGGTAAAAATTTCCTTAAATCCAGCGGCATCACAATTTATATATTTTTTTTAAAAATTTGTGATGGCCTAAAAAACCAATGTTGAGATCGCGATGCATATTCTTATTTCGTATAAATCATCTTGCTTGTGCTATATTTCGGAGTATTTTATTCTTAGATTTTCTGAGTTAAATGTGATAGAGTGATGTTACACCTGGCTGAAGATGCGTAAGTTAGAATAGGACGGGTCATTGAGCTATAAAAAAAGCGTTTAAATCTGAGTTTTTTTTTTTTTTTTTTTTTTTTTTTTTTTTTTTTTTTTTTTTTTTTTTTTTTTTTTNTGATAATTGCTTTGACATGATTTTTCCAATTAAATTTGCTGTTTATAACCAGACAAAGATAGTTTGGTTAACACTAGGTTTACGGGACGCGTCATTTTGACGCATTTCGAGTTTTGATAATTGCTTTGACATGATTTTTCCAATTAAATTTGCTGTTTATAACCAGACAAAGATAGTTTGGTTAACACTAGGTTTACGGGACGCTTCATTTTGACGCATTTCGAGTTTTGTAAGAAAAATTTTAAAACCCGTTTGAATTTTTATTTTATCTCTCGTAATGACTTTTAACCAGCGATTGAAGTAAATACACATTGAAGTCTATTTTCTTCAAAAGCGTTGAAATATTGAAATTATCTTTGTGGTATACCTATCTCTACGGATTGCGTCAATTTGACACGATCGTAATTTAGACAAAATTTTGAGTAAAAATGCAATTATCGCATCAATAATAAATAGGAATGTACCGACAACGCTTCGATCCGTTATCCGATATTGTTATCTCAAATAAAACAAGCGATAAACAACTGCTGGCAATAAACAATAATAGAAAGAACAAACACAGAATGTCAATTGATGTCAGATTTTGAAGGTTTCAGTTGCTTCGTTATTCGAGTAATGAAAAATAAAATACTAGAATATTTCATAAATATATATCTCATATTTTAATTTTTTTTCTTAAAGTATAGAATTACATTGGTTTCTAAGTGCAGAGGTGCCAACCGCTCCGGACACGCCAAAATAATTTTTAAAAAAAACGGTAAATAACTACTAAGTAAATTTTTCTAATATAAAGTGGTGAATTATATAAGTTTACGAATTATTTAGAAATAGTGGCGGTTAAAAATCGATTAAATTGAATTTATTAAATTAAGAATCACAATTATATGTATTCTTTCATGCGTCAAATTTACGCGTTTTCGTAGAGATAGGTATATAAGTAGGTTGAACTCCGACCCACCCCAGGGGGGTATACGGAGATAAAAGTAAAATTATTACAATAAAATTTCTCTAAAAACTAAAGTTACAGTAATATTTCGCCAAATGACAGTGGTGGCGATCAGTTAAAAGTGGATTAACAATAACG